TTTTGTACTCATCAGGGCAGTAACTGGAGTGTATAAAATGGGGTCTCCTGGAACAACTTTATTTCTTCAGCCTCTTTCCTGGAGTAGTCTTTGGTGTGAGTATATTTTTCCCTCATCTCTGACAGAAAGCAATTTCCTTTCTCCCCTACATGTCCTTCAGGCTCTGGTGATTCACACCCCAAAGCACCCTGCAAAAAGCCAACTTTGTTGACCCATTCTTGCTTCCGAGGGTGGGAAATGGTCCTCACCTGCAAAACCCCAACACGGCACATCATCTCAGAGAGCAGCAGTGAAAAACACCGCTTCCGAAATATATCATTTTCTCCCTTCTTGTAGGCGATGTCAAAGCACTAATGGAGGATTGTTATGGTTTCTTTGCCTCTCGAAATTGTTCCTTGCAGTGAGGAAATGGTGAAATTAGAACTGGAAAAGCTGGGAAGCCAATGGGGCTTTGATAGCTGTAACTTTTACTTAGCTGCTTGTCTCGCTTGCAGCATTACTGATATGTTATCAACCTAAAGCCGAGAGGACTGATATGGCAAGGAAAAATTGTCCTCCTTTTTTTTTTTTCCTGTTTTTTTTTTTCCTTATCAAGAAGTATCTTTTAATCTAAGCTGAACATCCCTGTGTCTGTATCTGAGGTCCATAATCTTTTCTAAAAATAAAAAAAAGTCTTACTATGTTTGCAAAGAAATTGCTGGATTTAGTTGAAGTGTTGCTCAGCAGAAAAGTTTGAGGCTTAACATTGAGAGGGATGGGGGGTTTGCCTCATTATTCTTCTCACTTAATTTTTAGAGGGCACAAGACAGGAAGTTCCTTCTGATTTAAATGAGAAATATCTAATATCTTTTGTCCTTTGAATGTTGCATTGCAGACTGACATAGGACATCCAGAAAGCCAGTGTCAGAAATTGTTTGGGTTTTCAGTCTTCCTTTGTTTTCCCTTTGTGTGTAGGCCAGAGATTCAGACACGAATGTTTTACTTTCATGAGGAAGACTCAGATGATTTTATTTTCAAATACATTTTCCACTGTCTGTATGGTAAAAGATTTGTTTTTCTAAGCAGAGTTTAAACATAGCACTATGGCAGATGCTTATAAAAATCAGTGTAAGTCAAATGCTGATCTGCCTTTTCTGCATTCTTACTGGAAAACATTTCTTCTCATTTCTCTGGCACCTCTCTAAACCTAGAGGATTACATGAGAGAAGCATTTGCCCCCCCGAGCTTATTGTGCCACATATTGCTCAAACAACACTAAGCATCCCAAAGGGTAGGAGAAGAAATACCAGAGAATATGATAACCTGATCTAGTGGGAGATGTCCCTGACCAGGGCAAGGGCTTGGAATGAGGTGATCCTTAAGGTCGCTACCAAACCAAACCATTCTATAATTCTATGATATAGAGATATTGCTTCAGATAAGGAGGTTAGAGTAACTTAGGACAATATAATTTTGTTTGTTTTGAATTACTTGAAAATCATAAAGCCTGGGAGAACTGCTCCACTTGCCAGTTTCTGGTCACAGTCAGTGTAAATCTGGAATGAAGCCATTAGCTCGAGGAGGATAGCTCTAGTATACATTCACATTACTAAAAGCAGATGTGGGCTTATGGCTGAAGCCAAAATTTTGGAGTATAAAAAAATGATCAGTCCTCAATTCCTCGTTGGTCAGAAAGGATGGGATGAATCAATACTCATGCTCTAGCACTGGGAAGATGGCTTTCAGGGCTGAGGTGTCTGCTAGAGACTAGAGCAGCCTAGGAGTGATCAGAAAAATAAACCTGCTACTGCCTGTGTGCAGCCATATACCTGCTGCGTTCTATATGGAGAACCTACAGCTTCCTGGGGCTTTTGAGTTTTCGGTGGTGTGAGGACATTGGATTATAAAATGATTGCTGCATAGTGACTTAACCTTGGCTCCGCTTGGTTTCCATCACACTTATGTGCCATGTTGCTGCCCAAGACCCAGTGCCCACAGCAGAGCATCGCTCTGAGATACCTCCAGCTCCATGTGCATTGACCCAGGAGGAGGAGATGTTTGGTTTACAAGTGTGATGCCTGGGCTGTGACATACCTAAGTCCCACCCATCAGTAAAATTATTATGTTGTCAAGCTAGGTGTAAGCTTTTGCATCCAGGCCATGACATTTTTGGCAAAACAGTTTTTGGAAGGTGATAGAGTGCTGGAGAAATCCTCGTGTGTCTGTGAACGGAGGAATGCTAAACCCTGATTTTTTTCCTTTCAAGAAATAACACTTCTCTAAGAAGGCAAAACCTCTGTGTGGCTTTTAGTTCTTCACTTCCACTTTCGTTAGAGGAGAAAAAAACCGCACATCAGCATCACACTCTTTGCTGGAATGAATCCTTCTGCCTGAGTTGCAGACATTTATAATAGAAATGCTGACAGACCCTTATTTATAATGGTGTGAACAAAGCCATGGTAATGGGCTCCGGAAAAGAGAAAGTGCTTAAACTTTTAGATGGCTGAGTATGGGGAATGGATACTGAGACTTTCCAGAGGGCTATGGGTAGAAAATTGAAAATGTTGTCACCAGCATTGGTGCAGGACACGTGCGTTATCAGGTAGGAGGAGACCAGAAATCAATGGGCAACTCACAGACCTCACCGGACAGTTTGCACAGCCACGCTGCAGTTCTATGCATTCATTTGTGATGTGTGGACACCCCCCTGGATCTCCTGCCTCCCTCCCTGCTGATGGCTCGTGCCTCCGCAGTCGAAGCGGGGTTTGGTGGTGGGTCTGCTGTCGGGGAGGCTCAGCCCCACATCGTGAGGTCCTGCTGGCTAAAAGGTGAGGGAGGATTTGTGGTGCAGGTGACTTCTCTCCGTGTGTTATCAGCAAGTTTTGCTCTGGAGAAAAGCACTGAAACGTTTTGGCCGGGGGCAGTGTTTCCTCAGGCTCCTTCATCTCTGTCTGTTCAGCTGTAATTGAATCATAGAATCATAGATATACATGATAAATTGTGCTGCGCAGAGGGAAGAGAAACCATGATGAGGGAGAAAGTTCCCAAGTGCGTTGATGGTCGTGTATTAATTAAAACTTTACCAGGAGAGGAGCTGCTGGTCCATTGCATGACCAGCTTAGTATGACATCCACCCCAGTGAAATCCTTGTCGTTATGCTGGTTTGCTGTACCTTGAAGGTGCCAAGGGTGCAGGACTCGGTTGATTTGATTTGATTTTTCTATTAGCAGTGAGGCACATGAATACCCCAAGCCTGGGGAGTCCTCCCAGTCCCCTCAGACTCCCCACAAGGCTTTTTATGACTTGGGTTTTATTTATTTATTTTTTTAAAATCCAAAATAAACACTCTTGTTAAGGAAGATTCTGTTCTTTCGGAGACATACCTGTTATTTGTTACGGACCTTTTGTGTGGGGAAGATTTGCTCCTTAATGAGTGTGATTTCTGGCTAATCTTTATGACTTTGAATTTTGCGACAAGATCTTCTTTGGACAGAAATAGGTTGAGTATATTTCAATTGCATCGTGTTCTTAAAATCGGTTTGTCAGAGAATCCTAAATAACACATTGCCTTATTCATAAACAGCCCGAGCAAATCAGGATTTGCAATATGTACCGCTGCAGCACAGTTCAGCGTGTGACAGTGATGTGTGACTCTGAGCCACGAGTTTATCAAAGGGTCTCACTGCGGGAGCCACCGGCAGAAAGAAAATACACCAAAGAATTATTTGAGCCTCCTTTATTTAATGAGCCTACAGTAAAAATGAAAACTCCAAACTCGCCACCATTTAAAAAAGCAAATTGCGTCGCAGGTTTTTCAGATCTGTTTCTACAGATCTGCAAAGCTTTTCATTGGGCAGAAATAAATTTTGTCATTAGTTTGTATATTACAGCCTGTATAAATTGCAGAATCATAAAGTATATGAAATTTCTGGGGGACTTGTGTGAGCCATGGAGGTGGTGATTTCTGATGTGCATGGCTGGGAGCAGAATCCCACACATAATGCCTTGGTTTTGAACCTTTGAAGGAGAATTTAAAAGATTAGCAGTGTTTCAAATACTGATAATTGTGAAAAAAGAAAATGAGCAATATTTCAGTTGTTGGTCTTGCTCTTTCCTACCCTAGCTAATAAAAAGCCAATTTTTCCAGCTTCTGCCCTTCATGTTGTCTGAAGTTCTGGGTCCCAGCACATCGTAGGGAGCAGGTCTCTGAGCTGGGAGTCAGGAGACTAATTTTTTCAAATTTTTACTCTAGCAATGACCTGTTATTTGATCTCAGGCAATTTTCTTTCTTCACAGCTATACAGTACTGCTGTTTAGATTTGCCTTATCCAGGGGGACAAGGCTTATGGTTTGCTTCTTAACAGAAAGGATCTTCAGTTTCAACTGAACTTTATGAATGCTAATATGGGACAAATTTATGAAAAGTATTATTTGTAACCAACTACTGTTCTGTTTCAGAATGTTTCAGCGCATCTTATTCCCATCCATATATTGCCCTAGCTGTTGCTGGGATGGAACCTTAAACCTGAGATGAGTTACCTATAGATGCATGTGTATTTACAGGTTACTTTTGATTATTGATCATTATAGCAATAGCTCAGTACTTTCATAACCTTCATGTTTGTTGTGGCATGTATTTACTGTTGAAAATATAATTTTAATGCTTATCTCATCAGGAAAATTGACTGTGTGTGGATTGAATGGGCGAGCAGCGAGACTGCAGTGTTTAGAGTCTAATTGAATCTGGATGGTACATGGAATTAACCAAAAATTACAGCATTACCCTGTTGTCATTGCTGTGGTTTTCCATCAATATTTGACTTTATGGTAGGCTCCAGCCTGTATCATGCCTTTGCTGGTGCTCCCTGCAGAGAGGCCAAGAACAGTAATGGGGACCAATTTCCAGCTACACTTTTCAAAAGCAGTTTGCGCTCCGTGGCTCAGCTCAAACTGGGAAAATGGTGTCAGCTCCCTCCGGCACAGTTTCATTCCCGTTTTGCTTTCCTTCTCTGTCTCCACAGCTGTGGAGTCGCTGCATTCCTTGAACGACCAGATCTCCCACTTTATTGTCAACAAGTCAAAAACACTGGATGAAGATGAAGATGCCTTTTTGCCCAGTGAGAAGGAATCTCTGAAAAATGCCATGTTGCTGATGAGGCACCTCCTAATGGATGCACAGGTAGGAAATCAATAAACTCCCATCTGTTAGGACATGAACAAATCTGGACGCATTTTTACAGGCAGTTTTAGTGGTAGAAAACATTAGTCCAGTGTTCAAAACTGACTTTGACCTCTGAAATCCGCAGGGAGGACATCTTGGTGCATGGAGCGTGCAGCTGGTGATGGGGCTGGATCTCGGATTTAGGGATGAAAACGGCTCTGAAGTTTCAGGAGAAAAGGGAGCCATATACCTGTTGGAAATCCAGCATCAGCACTAGGAAAAGAAAATCATTTTGCCACTAAGCATCTGTGCTGAGTGCCAGTTTTAGAAGTGCCAGACACGTAACTGAGCTGTTGGTTTAGCCATCCTCTAAAATGCCAGTTAAAAGTCATGAAACGATGTGCAGATGTTTCTTTGTGCCTTTGCTGCTTCAACATAAAATCTCTCACTCTGTAGGTTTACTGTCTTCCAGTGTGCTTCCTTCATCCCATAAAAAAACCCTTTGAAATATTCAGTATACTTATTTTTTTATATTCCCTTTTGGACTTTATTTGTAAAGCCTGGATGGAAGATGGCAGCTTGTGTTTGGAGGAATGGTTTTGAAAACAGGGTGGTCTCCTCTCCTTTCTCTTCCTGTAGCCCCTGAATTCATAGAAATCTGGCAAAGCAGGTCTGAGACGGTCCCAAGCACTTCAAAGCTCTCCAGAGGTGGGGATCCCACAGCCCCTGCTCCATGCTTTGACCACTGTCAGAGGGGATTTTTCATTTTTCTGAATCTTACTGGTATTTCCCATATTGCAGCTTGTGCCCATTGCCTCTTGTTAGAAGCCTAGTGAGAAAATAAAAGAGGAGGAAATTATTCCTGTAAGGATTAGCAAAATAATCTTATTCAGGGCTTTTCCTGATTTCCACCCCATGCTAAGCCTGGGTTGCCATTGCAGTACCAAGGCGGGTCGGTGCCAATAGCATGACTGCAATTACCCAGCGCTCCGTTAACCGACTGGCCCCCAGGGTCCGGGTCCCTGTGACTCGCTGCCAGCATTTTACAAGTGTCTAAGTGGAGAAAGTAAAGAGAGAAAGCGACACATTTTGATGTTTTATTCCCCTATTCTCCCATGTGGAGTCTGGTGGTTATCTTATCTGCTTCTCTCGCTTTCAAAGCCTTTGGTCCTAATTACTTTGGCTAGGAGGGATTTTGTTGCCTGTGAGAAATGGCCTGGGAATCTCTGGCGTTAGTGACATGTGTGTTTTAATGTTGGATATTTTTGCACGGGGAGTCAGTCCAGGCTTTGGGGGCTGTGGGAGTGCACGGGGAGCAAACCATTAAAGCTGTGCTCAGGATTTTGTACACGTGAGTACGGTGTTCATGTCACTTCTGTACGTCTTTAGCCAGGTCACCTCCGTTTACCCCAAACCGAGGGGTGAGACGCTGCTGCGATGTCACGTTGCACACAAAGGGTTAGATTGTGCATTTGGATTTGCTCCCATGGCCTGTGCTGCAGGTGGGAAAACCTCTGGAAAGTCAGGCATCAGAGGGGGCAGGTGCTACAGGCACCTGCATGTTGCAGATAAAATAAATACGGGCCAAAAAAGTACCTACCGATAATCCCCTTATGCAGGAATTCTTTTTCTAGCACCTGAGAAATGCTTTACTAGTTATCAGTTGTCCTGAGTGCATATTAAGTGCCGCCTGTGATAGAGTGACTGATTAAGGAAATGCTAATAACAATGGCGAAATGTCAAGTGCTGCTGCATCCTTGTGATGCTCCTGGATGTCTTCCCAGAAAGAACAGAACAGGTTTTTTTGCCCGGGATGTTGGAAGGATGACAAAGTGGGAAGTGGTAGTGATGAGGAAAAGGGTGGAATTAAACAGGTGACAACATCAAGTACGAAAAAACCCACCCCCAATAAAATAAATCTTCTGAGGAATGAAAGAAACATGAGGCTGGCAGCAAGCTACCTAAACTAGTGTGTGCATATAAAGTACGTACTAACTCTGACTGCAGAGTGCCCTATGGCTCTAATTACACAGGAGGAAAAAATATCACCAATGCAATTATTTCCCTTTCCTTACCTGATCTCGTTTCTTCCCAGCTAGTGGTTTTTATGGGAAGATGCAGCCCTGCAGCAGTAAACAAGATTGATCGTGCAAGGCCCTGTACAAAGATAAGCTGAAATCCAGCGCTTGGCCCTATTGCTCCCTTTCTTCCTTTCTTGCTGTGGACCTGATTTCAACTGGCAGATAATCTGAGGAGAGAACATCCAGCTTGAATTTTTGGGTGGAAATTAGCTGGATTGCTAACCCATCAGAGGGGATGGTTAATGGGCATTTCACTTCTCTGACACTATTAATCTGCTTTTAAACACAGCCCATGGGGATGACCCTCCCACAGCTTCTGCCTTTCTGGTGTGGAGAGAAACTGTGCAAATTTTAGTAACTGTGGCTGGCCACCAGCAGGCCAGGAGATATGGCTGAAACAAAGGCTTTGGATCCGCCATGGATCTAACTTTGAACTTGGAGTGATTTATTTTTTTTTTTGGCTTAAGATGAATCATGAAACCGCTCAAACATAGTTTTCCACTTTGGAAAATGCTGTGAGTGTTTTTGGACAGACCAGGCTGCTCTGGGTACCATGTGCATCTGTCTGTGAAGATGCAGGTCCCTGCTCTCAGCAATGTGCCACTGAGAGGACAAAATAACAAGGATGCTTATTGGCGTGGAGAAGAGGAACCACAGCAGAGAGGCCTTGGGGAGTTTGTTCAGGGTTTCACAGCCATATTTTCTTATTGCCAGAATCTGGACTCCATGCTCCTCAGCATCAACCCAGTGCCTTCATTAGACCATATTTATTTCTCCCTTGGCTTCTTGAAAGAACCTCTTTCCCCCATCTGTTTTGTCCATTTATTCTACCTCGCACTGATTTTCATGCCTCAGTTTTTGCAATACTGGTGTATGAGCAACTGTGACAGTAGTGACTATGGCTTTATAGGATAAATTTGCCTTGCTGGAGGCCACTTGTTGGTAAACACAGAATAGAGAAACAGCTGTTGAATGGGGAAAAAAATAATCACCTCATCTCCCATATGCAATAGGGCTTTCTCCACGGAAAATGGGGTATTATCTTGCATATTTTGCTCTCCTCTTGCCTAGAGAAATGTCATTTGTGTCAAGTGAAGTGGCAGTGGCAGGGTGAGTGTGAACACAGTGGTGGGATCTGCAGTGCAGGATGGCCAAGAGGTACATCGGCCCCATCAGCGGCGTTAAACCACACGTGGGGATAGGTAATAAGCTGTGTGGAGTCTCTCAGCAATAGGCTGTCAGCTCAAATTCTGGCCAGGGAAGACAGTGATTTAATGAAAGCCGTTACAATCTGCAGGGATCCCTTGACCCCCGTGGTCTCCATCCATTACACACCCTGGATAGGATTTCCTCATCATGACAATACCCTGTCGGGGGACGCTGGTCGCTGACCCTCACGCTCGCTGCTGGGCTGGCAGAGCTCTGGAAAGGGAGCATCGCCCTCCCTCTGAGTGAGGGCTGGGGCTTTGCATCCAGATTGCTCATTTCTCCTACTTGTTTCAGGTTTGCAACAGCTTCCTGACGTCAGTCTGGGGGTAAAAAGGCATCACATTCCCCTAAACGGCGCTTAGCAAGTCATCATCAGCACAGCGGAGCTGAAAGGGGGGAGAAACCCGAGAGGGAATTGAAATAGTGTTATATGAACTAAAAGGTGTACTTAGATAATGCGGGTGCATAAAAGCAGATGGAAAGAAAAGGTGCATTTATTCTATATGACATATTCCATCCCCCGCATAGTATAGGAATGAATAAACAATTTCATTTCTGCCAGACAGCCCGTGCAAGATGCTATCACAGGGATACGGCAGCCTGTGATAGATTGTCATTGTTGTCAATCATTTCTGACAGTCCTATTATGCTTGGAAAGGATGTTTGCTCTGTGCATGTTGTTTTATAATCCTCAGAGGTGGAATTTTATAGCCTAGCAGTGTTTTTTCCTCAGACGTTCCCCTAAGCAGGATTTATTGCTTCTGAGACACACGTGATGTGAATCCATTATACCTTCAAACTTTAAATCTCCCCCCAGCTTTGCCCAGATTACTTTTTGTTTTGCTTTCTCTTGCTTGACTTTCTAATTGCTATTGTGAGAGACTTAACTGGCGTGGAGCAGAAGGTACAGAGCATCCGAGGGCTGAGTCATCCACATCAGCTCTAATCGAGCAGTTTGCCGAAGCAATTTGTCTAATGAATTGCAAAGGTGCATCCAGACATCAGCATCAGCCTCAGACATAGGGCAATATTCTCTCTTATATGAAAGAACGCATGTAATTTTTCCGGCTGCCCGGCCTTAAAAGCTGGGCTTCCAGGAAGTTCAGTACATTTAGTTACTTCCATAAAGTGTTTAATTGACTTCAAGTGGATTTTAAGTTCTTTGGGAGGAATACCATCGTTTCAGTTGCTTTCCCAACAGTGTTGTGATTATCGCTGGGGCCCTCTTAGGTGTTGTTACAGAAGGAATGAATAAACATAGAGACAGTCTTTTGGTTTGGACTGGACTTTTCAGAGGCAATCATACCACAAATGATGACTTAAGAACAAGATTAGCTTAGTGGCCTTGTGGGGCACCTGGCTTAAATTTAATTGGATTTCAGTTGTTGACTTGGCATGAGATTGAGAGGATGTAGAGATATTCAGTTGCTTCTCTGCTGAGGGGTTCATTTCTTTCTTAGGTAAAGATATAAAATAAACCTGGTGTTACTTCTAGCCTAAGTTGTTAAAAAAAAGGTATGGTCGGTGTCCAAAAATCATAGGGGAAAGAACCATTTCATTTATGTTTAGAAGCTTTTTTCTTTAAAATCTGGTGTTCTAGCACTCTACTCTGAATAAAGCAGCTCCAGCTCTCATTGACAAGTGGGACGAACCTTTAGTAAGTGTTTACCAAAAACAGGTCTGTAGATACCGCTGGAAGTTGTTACCAGTTTGGGTAGAGTATTTTGCCCTGCCTTTATTTGGAAAATATTTCAGTATTTGAGTTGTCACCACCATAAGCCCTTTAAATTTGTCACTGGCATCCTGTAAATAAATAATTTATGGTGAGAGCCTTTCAATTTTTGAAAAAAGGAAAAACTTACTTGACATAGACTTTTAGCCATTTGGCATCCCACCAGCTCTTCACATCTGGGTTGTTTTTTTATATTAGCCTCCATTCCTTGCCTTCTCCAGAAAAAAACAAACAAACACGGTTTCATGAGCTCTT